GACATAGAACCTGGATATACATATAACCTGGATATACCAAGAGTCGCCTAACTGATGCTGGACATCCTCATGCTGTGCATGAGGACATCCTGTGTCTGCTAAATCCCCACAGGAAAGAATTGATACAATGCTTTCCTATGGGGAAGCCTAATGCAAGCGCGGAGGAAGAGCCTGAGGGACACCAGCGCTGGATTCAGGTAAGTGACTAAGGGGTTTTAACCCTTTCAGTGCCGAGTGGGTGGTGGGGGGACACGAGGGAGGGGGGCACTGTAGGGAACTATAGTGCCAGGAAAACAGCTGTTTTCCTGGCACTATAGTATTCCTTTAAAAGGAGTGGGAAAAGGTGGAATCTAAAGAGGAAGGGGTGGGTTCTTAATCAGGAGGAGTTGCAGCCTTGACAGGAAGGGGTGGGGCAAATTAAGCTTAGGTTCCCAGGTTTAGTCATGCCTAGGGCATGCTGGGAACTTTCTCTTCCATTTTATCAAAAATGTATAGCATTAAATTTTGTACCATCATTTAAACCTGATTTGTTTTATAGTCAGGTTGATTTGCAAAAGTTCTTTCGATTGTTTAACCTATGTGCCTTTTTTCAGATCAGCAACCCCAATGCCAGGGAGACAACACCCCTCCAAGAGTGCTGGAAAGGGTCCCCCCTTTGACTAGAGTACTAAGTAGAGGAAATAATAGGGAGAAATTGTTGCTACAGAAGGAAGCCCGTTGGATGTACCTCCTGGATACAGTGTCCTCTCATGGTCTCAATGAGAAGCTTGAGTAGCACTGGTTCCTATAGGTGTACCCTTCTGGTGCCCATCAAGGGATGCATCCTGGATCTGTGTATGTATTATATTACTCTTATTATCTGCATTTGTCTTGCCTTACAGTCTCTCTTTACATATATATTTCGATCTTATATGGTATGCTGTATATCCTCTGAACTGGCGAGGATGTTTCTATGCTTATTGTATATTTATAGTAAATAATTGTGTTTTGATGGTTATATTGGCTGTGCTGGACTTCCTCCTTCTAGTCCTGCTCCTCTGTTACAGTTTTATGCTTTATAGAGAGATGGAATTGCTATTTATTGAATCTGCGCATTTAACACACTATTTAGCTTTAGGTATAGGGAGATTATTATGCTGAAAAAAAAGCTTGACCCTAGTAGAAAATAAGTCAAAGGATTGCAAAATTATAATGTTTTTTTTTCCATTCATTTACAATATGCTAGCGTGACAGCTGTACAGGGAAGTTAAGTCCTCATGCATTCTCATAGTGACTCAGCAACTAGCACTGAAAAAAAAGGTTGCTTGGGGATATTTTTAAAGGGGACTTGCCATTAAAATTGTTCAAAACAACTAGCAAGAAACCTGCATTAAGTTTGGTGTTCTACTTAAAGTTTCAATGTATGTTTAGATTTCTACTTCCATAATTGCACTGTATATTTAACATGCATTTCTATAAAATTTCATTCAAGAGTTGAGACGAATTTATGAAGCAGTCCTGCTTAGTGGCAGATAATATTCTCAGTAACTATGTTGCACATTGCACTTCAATAAAATTTAGATGTGGAGCCAGATTTACAGTCTTGTGGCTCTATGCACAAGATTCCAGGCAACTTCGTGTCAAGTAACTGAACGAAAAATCAACTTCGGGCTATATTCACTAAATGGTGAGTTGTGGAGCGTTGATAAGGTGAAACTAGCTGAAAAATAAATAAAACAGACCTACACAAAAATGTTTTGGTTGACCAAAATAAACTATTCTATATAACTTTTAAAAACATTTCTAATCATGAGGCTACATTAGACCAGAACATTTTTTAAATTAAAAACGTTTCCCAAAACATGGTGGTTAATAACCCATTTTATGTCGTCAACCCCTGAACAGAATGTTAGATTACCACTTTACACCATGTTACGCAAACAACTATTTAATTTGTTTATTTTAAAGAAAGCAAATGTGCCGAAAACTATGTGTTACATATTTATTAATTGTGAATACTAATTATTTTACAATGTTAAAAACATCAGTCTTTACTTATCTTATTTTCTTAAAATGGCACTATAATCAGAAATTGTATCTGTCACATCATATTGTACATTGTGTTGATTATTAATAAATATTTATAAAGTGCCAACAAATTCCATAATGCTGTACAATAGGTGGACTAACAGTTATATATTTGTAATAAGATGAGTTAGACGCTCAGGAAAAATGGTTTGCTGAGGGCCCTGCTCACATGGGCTTACATCCTAGAGTGATTGGGGAAAAGTGTCACAAGAGGTAGGGTAGGATTTATTTAATGTATGTGAAAGTAGGTTACTAGAATAGTTTTCAGTGAAGGCTTTGTTTATTGGATGGAAAGGAAGCAGGGTGGGTTACCAAGGTGTGGGGAGGTAAACCTATTAACAGTTTATCATTGTTAAATCTGCTAATAAGTTTGAAATAAACTGGATACAATAATTCTAACTGATATTTCTTTATATTTGTGACCACAGAACATTGACAGTGATCTAATAATCTTTTTCTAGTTTATGCACATCTAAATCTTAAATCATAGATTCTAAATTGGCTGCTTGAATTGGCTAACTGTCACAGGAGGTTTGAAATTAGTGATGGAATTCTAAGACGTCACCTCCCACGACATTACTTATAGCTAAATAGAACTATTATAATTAATTATAGGTGAACTTGATTAAATGTAAGTAATATTGAGCTGTTGTCAATAATGTTTTTTTTAAATGTGCAACGATAATTTAAATAATATCCCACCTCCAATCACTAGAATTAATGATAGTGACACTATTTGTACCATCGGTGACATGGAAGGGAATGGTCTCACTTGGAAAAGGGTCAGTCCTGCATGATATGATATGTGAAATGCACAACAGGCTACCTAATAGGATAAAGCCCTGAGTTCAGTTTGTACAAGCACATTCAATGATGCTGTTATGCAGTGCTTACTGGGAAACTGTCAAGACCCTAAAGAACAAAACCAGGAAGGCAGGAAGGATCTGAATTTCACACTGTATGGCCAAATCCAGGAATGTTGAGGGGTATGGTGATAATGGCATTTTGATCTCTCTTAAAGGGACACTTCACTATATTTATTTTATAGTTGGGCAGTGGAGTGTCCCTTTAATGCGCAGCCAACAAAATCTGAACAGCAATGCTCAAAACAAGTTAACAAGAAATGTTTAAAAAAACATTAATAAGGAACTCTTTAATGATCACGGCCCTCTGATTAGGCACCAGCGCAGTAAAGCTTCACTCATTAGCTATAGAAGGCTTCCCAGCTTATTAAACCTCACATAGGTGCCTTACAAAAGCCTTTGTCTAATGGTGCTATACAACTTAGCCACGAGGCGCAGATGAAAGTTTATTAGCAGAACTATAGGAGAGACTGGGCATCTTGGTTAACAAACGAATAGGTTAGGCTATGTGATGCATGTCAAGCTTCTTTGATAATAATGTTTACATGCAATTCACGTAAAATGTTGTACTTTCTGCTATAACTCACAAAAATAAAGAATGTAAAAAATAAAATAAAATAAGGAACTCTTTATTCTACTTGCAGAGTTAGATTCACTGAATAAAAGTAAATTAATCTACTTCACAAGAATTCACAAGAAACCTTCAGTGTGCACAGGCAAACTGTGTTTTCTTTAAATGAGACATCATGCAGTTTGTCCAGATGTAAGAAACATTTCAACTTATAAACAGAAAAATTCTGTAATCACTGGCTTTACCACTTTTTGTGCATGATGTATTTTTAGCCTAACCTGACAGCACAGTAATAAGTGTGAATGGATTGCACATGCATACTTGAACATCTTCCATTTAAAAGTTTAAGTGTTAAGCATAGGCGTGCACACCGCACACAACACACAAACAGCACCCTCACAAGCGCGCACACACAAACACCCTCACCCACATAGCACACTACCAGCACCCTCACACACACATCACACTAACAGCACCTTCACACACACACACAGCAGTGTATGTGTGTGTGTGTATATATACAGGGCCGGACTGGCCCACCGGGATACCGGGAAATTTCCCGGTGGGCCGCGGCACCTGGGGCCGGTCTGACAGCTCCTGTGATCCCGGCGGCCGTGTGTGAGCTGTGTGGCCGCACAGAGCCCCATGGGAGCAGGGGGAGCCAGGCGGCCGGCTCACACATGGCCGCCCGGGATCATTTAAAAAAAAAAATTGCGGCGGGGGCGGAGCTTACTGTGCGGCGGGTGCGGGGCTTGGCGTGCGGCGGAGGCGGAGCTTACTATGCGGCAGGGCCCGGCTAATTGCAGCATGGGAAGCAGGAAGGAGTCCCTGCTTCCCCAACAACAAGCCTCCAGGAACTCCAAGCAGGAGGGAAGAAGGAGGTCAGTGTGTCTGTGTGTGACTGCCTGTGAGTGTCTGTGTGTGTGTGTGACTGCCTGTGAGTGTCTGTGTGTGTGTGACTGCCTGTGAGTGTGTGACTGTGACTGTCTGTCTGTGTGTGTGTGTGACTGTCTGTGTGTGTGTGACTGTGACTGTCTGTGTGTGTGGGACTGTGTGTGTGTGACTGTGTGTGTGTGTGTCTGTGTGTGTGACTGTCTGTGACTGTCTGTGTGTGTGTGACTGTGACTGTGTGTGTGTGTGACTGTGACTGTCTGTGTGACTGTGTGTGTGTGTGACTGTCTGTGTGTGTGACTGTCTGTGACTGTCTGTGTGTGCGTGGGACTGTGTGTGTGACTGCCTGTGTGTGTGTGACTGAGTGTGTGTCTGTCTGCTTGTGTATGTTACTGTCTGTGTGTGAATGTCTGTGTGTCTGTCTGTGTGTGTGACTGTGTGTGTGTATGTGTGACTGTGTGTGTGTAACTGTCTGCCTGTGTGTGTGTGTGTGGCTGTCTGCCTGTCTGTATGTGTGGATGTTTGCCTTGGTGCCAGTGACTGTCTGCTTCTGTGTGTGTGTGTGCACACCTTTTAGTGAGGGAGCCTCTGTGTGTGTGTGCCTGCTAGTGAGTTTGTGTGTGTGTGCCTGCTAGTGAGTGAGCTTGTATGTGTGTCAGTGAGCTTGTCTGTAGGGATCATATGTGTGTGTGTGTTAGTGAGCTCTTGTCTGTAAGGAGCATGGGTGTGATCGTGAGCTTGTCTGTAGTGAGCGTGTGTGTCAGTGAGCTTGTCTGTAGTGAGTGTGTGTGTCAGTGAGCGTGTGTGTCAGTGAGCGTGTGTCAGTGAGCTTGTCTGTAGTGAGCGTGTGTGTCAGTGAGCTTGTCTGTAGTGACCATATGTGTGTCAGTGAGCTTGTCTGTAGTGACCATATGTGTGTCAGTGAGCTTGTCTGTAGTGAGCATGTGTGTGTCAGTGAGCTTGTCTGTAGTGAATGTGTGTGTTAGTGAGCTCTTCTGTAGGGAGCATGTGTGTGTCAATGGGCTTGTCTGTAGGGAGAGTGTGTGCGCATCAGTGAGCTTGTCTGTAGTGAGTGTGTGTGTGTGAAACAGTGAGCTTGTCTGTAGTAAGCTTGTGTGTGTATCAGAGTTTGTCTGTACTAAATTTGTGTGTCTGCCAGTAACCTTCTCTGTGTGTGTCATTGAGATTGTCTGTCAATGAGCCTATTTGTGTGCATCAGTAAGATTGTCTGTGTCTATGTGTGAGTATGCTTTACTGTATAATTGAATTACCCTGAAAGGACTAATATTTTGAATTAGAAGAAATGTATCAATAATATATATATATATATATATATATATATATACACACATACATTAAAGGACCACTCTAGGCACCCAGACCACTTCAGCTTAATGAAGTGGTCTGAGTGCCAGGTCCAGCTAGGGTTAACCCATTTTTTCATAACCATAGCAGTTTCAGAGAAACTGCTATGTTTATGAATTAAGCCTTCTCATTGACAGCCACTAGAGGCGCTTGCGTGCTTCTCACTGTGATTTTCACAGTGAGAGCATGCCAGCGTCCATAGGAAAGAATTGATAATGCTTTCCTATGTGACCGGCTGAATGCGCGCGCAGCTCTTGCCGCGCGTGCGCATTCAGCCAACGGGAAGGAGAGAAGGAGGATCGGAGGAGGAGAGCTCCCCGCCCAGCGCTGGAAAAAGGTAAGTTTTTACCCCTTTCCCCCCTCCAGAGCCGGGCGGGAGGGGGACCCTGAGGGTGGGGGCACCCTCAGGGCACTATAGTGGTCCTTTAATATATAACACCCTACATAGCAAAATGACTTATGGGGCTGGCATAGATTTTTTTCCAGGGCTGCTTCGTATCCCCAGTCCAGCCCTGTATATATATATATATATATATATATGTATATATATGTATATAGTAGAGGTATAATGGCACTCACCCTTGCTGGTAAAAGGTCCAATGCTCTGGTGCTATCCCACGCTGAAAAGATATACAATCTATACATAGAAAGGATGCACTCTCCGGTCTTTCAAGAATTATAAAATAAAGTAAAATGTACTCACCAATAGTGATTGTAACCCTCCTCCCCTTACTCAGAACCCGGAAGTGTCCGCCAGTCATCACGTGATCTGCTTAGTAACGTAGCCACGTTAGACATGCGTGATGATGAAAAAATGTGGTTGCTAAGAAACCATTGTAAATAATATAAGGCCGGTTTCACATAGTTCCGTGGCGTGAATAGTGAAGTCTATGTGACTGTCTATCAAGAAGTTAGTGAAATATACATGTTATGAGAATCATATTGGAACACATATAAAGAGCATTCCATAGATTCAATTAAATATAAAAAGAGACATGGCAAGTGTATATAGGACGTAAGTGAAAATAGTGTCCGTTAAAGAATTATGTAGAAGAAGTCTATACCCATGTCCCACTATAACAATAGTGTGTATAAATTCATATGAAAAATTAAAAATTAAAACAATATTGGAATGCCATAGGAAGAACATATATCAAATAATCCATAAATATACAATATCTTGTTGTATATAATTTTAGAAATCTATTAGAGAGTTAGGATTCTATTAGAAGAATATAAACCTAGTACTGTAGATGAGTATATTTATTTTAAGAGGTTTTTGTTAGGGGCAAATTCACATATGATGAAACTTATCAGCTTCACAAGATCACAGAAAGAAAAAATGAGGGTTAAATAACCCTCTTAGAGCTCATAAGTATATAATTTCTGTAATATAATGTTGCAGCAATGAAGTATAAGTTAACTGGACATAGTAAAGATAATATAAATAAAACTTAAAAAATATATTAGCTAATAATAAATGAATAAGTAAATAGAAATAAATAGCTTATATTATATACACAAGGGGTATCTGTTCCAGGCAAGGACCTCATTTTCAAAGGAATATAGAGTAAACAATATTTTCATTCAGTCCTTTGAGTGTTCCAGTGTCTAGACGGTGTATTCAACGAGCCCCCTTTGTAACAACATTTTAGATCGATCTCCCCCTCTAGAAAGCACGGGTATATGGTCGATAGCTGTAAAGCGTTATATTAATTTTCCCCCTGAAAAATGCACTAGGGCTTATTTTCAGGGGATGTCTTATTTCGGAGAAAAACGGTAGCAAGCATATGCTAGAAAGTAAAAAAAAAAAAAAAAATCCACACTAAGTCTTCAGTGAATACTATTCTACCAATCTACTTCCCTAGTCCTTTCCTTACCCACTCCCTCTAGCATGTAAGCTCATTGAGCAGGGCCCTTAACCCCTTTGTTCCTGTGCATCAAACTTGTCTGGTTGCAAATACATGTTTGTAAGTCCACCCATGTTAAAGAGCTACGGAATTTGTTGGCGCTAAATAAATATAATAATAATAATAATACGTTCCAGGAAATTCCTATGAACATAGTCCAGTTCATTAGGGCATGAAATCCCACAATTCTATGTTTGAGGAAATTTTTCCAAAACATAGATTAGTTTACTCTCTAATGAAATCACGCAAATCTATATTCAGGGAAAATTCCACGAACATAGATTAACAAACTAGCGACTAGGGCTTATTTTCATGGTAGGGCTTATATTACGAGCATCCCCCAGAAATAAGCTAGGGCTTATTTTGGGGGGGATATCTTGGGGAAACAGGTTACATAAGCAGCTACTATATTAGCAGACCACACTGCAAAAGGAATGGTTTGGGGAACATGACATCTTTGTTCAACGTAGCTGCAGCCCTGCTTCCAACAAAACATAAGCTTTGCAATTCCCTGGGTTCAATACTTTAGAGCAGTGGTTCCCGACCCATGTTACGCGTTCCCCAAGGGTACAATTGAGTGACCCCGGGTGTACATGAGAAAAACCCCAGTAATGGTGGCCACACGGGCTGGGGACCACATGGTGAGCAGGTCCATCAGGTGGCCCATGCACTCAGGGCCACCCATTGGACATGTGCTATGAGGGGCCTGGTTGTGTGCTGCAGTGCTCTAATAGTGAGACGGGGCCCCATCTCCCAACAGTCCCAGCCAGCAGGAGCCACCCTAAAGGTATGTGTATATGTGTTTTGGGTGTCAGTATTTATGTGTTTGTATCTGTGTATGTGTATTTGTGTGTATTTGTATGTATGCATGTGTGTGGATCAGTGTGTCTCTGTATGTCTGTGTGTCAGTGTGCATATTTGTATGTCTGTATATCTGTGTTTGTGTGTATCTGTATGTCTGTCTGTGTGTGTATCTGTATGTCTGTCTGTGTGTATCTGTATGTCTGTGTGTGTGTGTATTTGTATGTCTGTATATCTGTGTTTGTGTGTATCTGTATGTCTGTCTGTGTGTGTATCTGTATGTCTGTGTGTATCTGTATGTCTGTGTATCTGTGTGTGCGTATCTTAATGTCTGTGTATCTGTGTCAGTGTGCATATCTGTATGTCCGTGTATCTGTGTGTTTGTCAGTGTGTGTAGCTGTGTGTCAGTGTGCGTATTTGTATGCTGTGTATCTGTGTGTGGGTCAGTCTGTGTATCTGTATGTCTGTATCAGTGTGTGTGTCTGTGGATCTGTGTGTGTGTGTCAGTTCATGCATCTGTATGTATGTGTATCTGTCAGGGCTGGCCTGTTCATAGGTCCCAGTGGGGCTATGGCTCCAGGCGGCACTTTGACAGGGGTGGAATTTTGCCACTCCTGTCAAAGTGCCGGTAAAGCCCAGTCATCACCTATCAGCTCATCTGCCGGAGGAACTAAAAAAAAAATCAAAAAAGTCATAGGCGTCTGGAGAGGGAGACTGATCTGGGTCCACAGGGTTATGACATCTTTCTCACTGAAGATCCGTCACTCTGAGATTACTAGCTGTGTATGCTGGAACTTCAGTAGGAACTTAACTTACAGCAATTTTCAGCGGGGATGTTGCTGTGGGTTGGTCCATGGGATTGGCAGAATTCCTCTTTGTGTCTGTAACGGCCACATAACAAGCACAGGCAGCACCCACACAGACACACAGACACACTAGATCACCAGCATACACACACAGACACGCTACATCCCCAGCATACACACACAGATACGCTACATCAACAGCATACACACAAATGCTAGAACACACAGACATGCTACATCCCCAGCATACATACACAGACACACCACACCCCCAGCATACACAGACACACTACATCCCCAGCACATACAGACACTACATCATCAGCATACACACACACACACACACACATAGATCTCCCCTGCCGGCAGGGGCCATGTCCTGGGGAATAAAGTGTGGGAACTCTCCCAAGATTCCCACCCCCCCAAAAAAATAATATACACTCGTGTGTGTGTATATATATATATATATATATATATATATATATATATATATACGCATACACACACATACACTCACACACACATACTCAGACACACACTTACAGACACACACACATATTCACAGACACATATACACACACACTTACAGACACATACACTCACAGACACACACACTTACATTCACAGACACACATACACACACATACATTCACAGACACTCACACACACACATACTTACAGACACACATACACTCACAGACACACATACATTCACAGACACACTCACACACACACACTTACAGACACACACACATAGATTCACAGACACATAAACACACACACACTTACAGGCACACACACATTCACAAATGATTTTTTTGTTAATTAAAAATTGTCCACCCAGCCTCCCTACCTGGAGAGCTGGCGTGGACTTGTCCCTGGGGTCCAGTGGGTCGGGCGCCTATTTCCATACAACAAGCGGCGAGGGAGCTGTGTGCTCTCTGCTTCCTCTCGCCGCGCG